GGGACTCGACACATAACTTTGAACTTTTCTGTGCATAATTCCCTGGGGTGTATTTAATGTGTGGCTACTTATCTTGTCAGCATTGTGATGGTTGGGAGTTGGATATAGCATCTGTGCCCTCTTGTGAAAGGGTTAACATCCATAAACAAGTGCCAGTTATTTATTGGAAAATGACTACCATAGTGCATGTAACACAGGCGCTCCATATGGGAACTCATTAAGGCTGATGGTGTTACAGTATGCAAAAAGGTGTATGGCATGTTTTTGTTTTTTTTTTTTAATGCCACAGTAGCCATTACCAGCACACCAGCATAATCCTGGCTGTATGTTACAGTTCCCAATAGAGCTGAAATCCCAGTGAGGATGACCCAAAAGGAAAGCTAGGTGAAAATCAGAATCTAAATGCTTTCATTGAGGGTGGATGGGAAGGAATGTAGACAGGGGTCCCCTGTGTCTGTCTTTCTCTCTCTTGCTAGGTCTTAAATACTTAACCTTTAAGAGGCTTAAAAATCTTGGTTCAAATTCCTCAGGGTTTTTTATGAAGTTACTTGTGTACATATCTATCTTGAGCACAAATGTATGTGTTTTTTGGGGTTTATCAGGAATGATTTATGATACTGGTATTATTCTGTGCTATAACTTCCCATATGCCATGGATTAGGCAGTGATTGCACTAACATGTGTATTCTGCTGGGAAGCTTTGATTCCTACTACTGCTGATCAACAATTTCAACTCTTGGAACATGCAACCGAAAAGCTTCTGTTATCTGTCAGTCCAATGCTGCTTACTTCTCCTGTGTGACCTCTCAAAGATATGATGGAGTTTCTGTTGAGTTTTCTGTGTAGACTGTAAGATAGTAGGGAAGCACCGATTTAAGATTTTCTTGGCTGATACTGAGCTGGTTATTCACCAGGCATATTAGCTAATATTGATCTGATTAACTGATATACAGGAGCGCAGCCGAGCAACGTGGAGAGCAGCTCCTTGCAAGTAAGTCTGTGGAGCGGAAGGTGTGTATGGGGGAGGTGGTCAAGGCCCCCACAGTGAGGGAGGGGGTGGGGCAGGAGCAGGGGTTGCTGCCCAGCCAGGACAGCGAATGGGACCCTGGGGCTGGGGCGGGGAGTGGGATAGAGATGCAGGCAGCTCATCCAGGGGATCAGCATCCCAGCACTTAACAGCAGCAGGGATGCTTGAACTAAAGCTCATCAAATGAACTTCATTTGAAGTGCCACTGCCACCATTTATCAGCACCGAGACAATTTTAGGAGCTGAGCTGAAGAGGGCGGAAGCAAGCTGCCCAGTGTGGGCTTGAGACTCTCTGCTCTGCTGCCTTTGCCCCAGGAGCTGCATGCTGGCTGCGTGTCCCCTGTCCACTGGGTGGCAGTGGCAGTGGTGAGTTGCGCCTCCTGCTGCTGGGCAGGCAGAACTTGCCGCCACCACTGCTGCCGGGTGGGCAGGGGATGCGAGACCAGCGCGTGGCTCCCGGGGCAAAAGCAGCAGCACAGAGCCCTGAGCCCACAGTAGGCAGCCTGCATCCACCCTGTGCACAAATCTGGGGGGCACATGCCCCCCCCGCCTTGCCTGGGGGTGCATGCAGTGGTGGGGAGCTGTCTCCTGCTCCCTGCCCTGGCCCC